CATGGGAAGCCTACCTGCCATGGGGAAGACAGACAAGCCATGTCATAGTGATGACTGCAACCGGGGGGTATGCAGTCGGGGAGGTCAGTGTTCTAGAGACCTTCAGAGCCAGGTAGAAGTAGAAACCCATGAGTGAGGGCTGGGGGCTACTGGGAGCAAATGGCAACTGAGTCCTGAGGAGAGGTGGGAACTAGCCCAGAGGAGAGGATTCAAGCAGAGAGAACAGTATGACTGTTATATGGAACGGAGAGTGGGGAGAGTAAGAAGTTCTGGAAAGAAACTGATTACACGTAAGAGATAACAGACACTTAGGGGAGCTGCACAAAGTCTTTCATGCTGGCTTCACCTCAGAGCACTTGACAGAGAGCTGGTTTTACCAATGCGCCCTCACTGTGGTTTAACTTTTTAAGGCCTCATCTCCCTGCCCCACACATTTTCTCCAAAGAGCCGGCATCTGGGATCAGATGGATCTTGACTCCATCTGCCCTCATCTTATGTAAGTCGTTTCACCTCGCTGAACCTCAGCTTCCTCATCTGTAAAGTAGGGCTAAGCAATGCTTACTTCACCCAGTGGAGTGGCGTAAGAAAACAACTGTCCCAGCACCAATTCCTGGCACATCAGAAGGTCTTAATAGATGAAAATTGCAGGCCTACCTGACTGGCCACTTTGGTGAGTGTCAAAGCTAGATGGCAGGCACACGGAGGCTCAGGACAGTATTCTAGCTACTTGTAAGTATTTTTGAAATTTTTATGAAGAATTAGTTTTAAAACTACTGCTCATATTATTTACCACAATTACTGCTATGATCCAAGCTTTTTTGGGGACAGTTCCTTTTAATGGAAGGGAATTGACATATGGCAGTAACAGGATGCCAAAATGCATACAAAGTTCCTCATTTTCACCTCCAGCTTCTTCATCTTCCCCAGTTTTCAGAAGAGCCTGAGGGATACCCTGTCCCCCTATGCCAACCCTTCCTGATTTTTTTTTTAAAGATTTATTTATTTATTTATACAAGCACTGGGTACAGTCAAGGGTGCAGGAGGGTGAGAGAATTCACCAGGGCCAGAGCGGAGAACAGAACAGGCAGACTAATGAAATACACTGCTGAGGGGAGCAGCGGGTGGCAGGAGAGGTCTATCGCTCCATGTGGGACCCTCGCCAATGGCCAGGGATCGAACCAGTGCTGTGGAGGTTCGCAGCCCAGTGCTCAACCGCTGCGCCACCAGAGGAGGCCCAACCCTTCCTGATTTTATGGATTGTTTCCAATGCCAATATCAAGCTTCAACAACGAGGTATAAAAAAGAAATATTGACGTTTTAATTTTTGTTTATTTTCTAATCTAAAAAAGAGAAGAGCAAGCATTACTAATACTGAAATTATGATTGAAACTGTGCACTCAAAGAATTAAAGTGCACAGACTTACCTATGTCTGTCAAAAGAACATAGTTGCTGGTCTCAGCTTCTGGGAAATGACAAGTTAAAGAGAAACACAAGGATTAAGCCTGCTTCCTTTGTTCCGGTGAGAAGCGAGGCGTTTCCAAACTTGGTTAGCCAGTTGGAATATGTGTGGCTCATTTGATGAATATAAATCCAAGACAACGGAAACATTTTAAAGGGTTGACAGTAGTATACGACAATTACTGATACGTCACATACCTAGACCGGGTGTGTGTGCTCAAAAAGCGTTTGCCCAGTTGGATTGCAAAATCAGGGAAATGGGGAGCCCCCATCTCTTCCGTGCGGCCCCTGCATGGTGTCATCATAGCTCAGTGCAGAGGGGGACCTGGATGTTTGCCTTGGGTGCCTGCAAAAGCCATCTGCCCATCCAGAGAGGAGGAAAATGTAGCAGAAGGCATAACTTTGATCCAAATTTCTAGGGCTAGGTATGTATCTCACGCACTCTGGCAGTCCTGAAAATAATTGTTCACATAGATGGGGACTCTGGCCAATCAGAGATAGCCATGGTCACTTCAGCTAAACCCTCTGCATCTGCAAGATGTCACCGTCTCCACCACGATGTGGGAGAAGGTGAGTGGTTACAGGAGAAGGTGGTCAGTGAGTACTAGGGAGAAAGTGGGGCTGGGGGATGGTTGTTGCTGGCCAGAGGCGGGTCCAAATGGAACATCTGGAATTTGAGACCTAAGAGTCTTCACCAGTGCCCCCAAGACCAGAATGTTCAGCCAAATTCCTCACGAGTGGGAGCCTCTGTCTGGGTACTTTCTGGTGGTATGGCCCTTGGGAGGGTGCTGAGGCTCCTACATCAGAGGAAGGGGTGGGAAGTCTGTTGCACCCATTAGGTCTCCTCTCAAAGGTCTGGGAATTCTAAGAGTTAGATGTGCCCACCTGTGTGGTCAGGCAGGGACATGGCCCAGAGGTCTGTGTTCGAGTCCCAGCTCAGTTTCTCACAAGCTTTGCGCACTTGGACAAGATGCTGGACTTGTCTAAGATCTGATTTCCCCACCTCCAGATGAACAGAACAATCTGGAAGAAGCCAGTATGATAATCTCCATGTAAGAACACAATTAGAAAATAGACCCAAAAGCAATTAGGAAATCAAAACAATACTTTATAAATATGATTGATAATAATTCCCAACTGAATGAGAGAATGGAAAGATAAGTGTCTGGGACCAAAAGTTTCTTGTACAGCACATGCACCCCAAGACTGATGGCACACCATGGCAGTGGTAGGAAGCCTGGTCTCCACCCCCACTTCAGCCTGCTCCTAGTTATGGAGTCTTCTAGAGATATCATGTCATTACGGCCCCCAGGGGGCCACGCGGGGCTGCGTAGATGGGCGAGGGTGAAGATGCGGGGAGGCTGCTCCTGAGCTGGCCATGCCTCCCGCCCGCCACCTCATCAATCTGTCATCCTCTTAAGCAGCTGACACCACTGGCAGCACCTCCCAGCAGCCTGGGCATTAGAATTGCAAGAAGCCCAGTTGCAGGGGGAATACAGATGGAGGAATCTCAGATTCAAATTTTTCTAAGTGTTGTGAACAACCAGACTCAGGGAAGGCAGTCTGACTGCCCTTCTGCCTGAGGGGAGTGGTGGGGGGTTTGTTAGAAGTACAAATTGCTTCTTAATGCAGAGGATAAAGCTGGGCTTGGGCATCTCCTTAGAAATTCCTCCCGCTCCCAGGAAAGCCACCGCTGCATGTCAATTTTAATTTTTGAAATTTAAACCGAGGGCTTTGTGTCTAAGCTCCATCTCATCGGAGGAAGGGGAGGAATAAGTCAAAAAGGATTAGGGGCCCACTGGGTATTGCAGATCCATAGCAATTAGACTTCATTTGGGTCTTAGACATTTGGTTTTAATCGCATTTCTGGATGATACAATCGGCAAGGCTTCAGAAATTGATACGTACGTAACAGTAGATGGGGCCTAACTTTGCCCACTGCAGTTCCTGGGCTTAACTGGGTTTGGGTTCCACAATTGTCAGGAGTGGGGGGTGGTGTGAGGAATTGAGGTTCCATTTGGGTCCGGAAGTGGGGGATGGTGATTTGTATACATATTTGTTTTCCCCCTAGCTTTCTCTGAGCACTTTGTCCCTGGACTGAAAGCAGACGCAATCATTGCTAATACTCAAGTGAATGACAATAAACCCTTTTTCAAATAAAATAAGAGCATAAAGAGGAAGAGCGACAGCAACAGGACTCCAGGCAGGGGGTGTAATTGTCTTTTAAATGGGAATCACAGCTTTCAGAATCCTCCAGGAACTAAAGTTGAGCACAATGCGATTTGGGAGCAGACATACAGCCTTGAACACTGTCACACAGCACCTGACACAGACCTATGAATACGTGTTGCGCGCGCGTGTGCAGGTATTTAACATGGATTAGTGATGACAACCACAACATTGTGTCCACATGGTGTGTGTGTGTGCAGGTCTCCAGTTTTACACAAATAAACCTGTGGGGTGGACCCACATTTCTCCTCAAACTGATCAAAAAGAGCTCAGTAAGTACTACTGGGTCGCTAACTGGTTATTTTGTAAATAACTTAATGTTTATTGGAAATTAGTGATCTAAAAATAAAACAAAAAAGTAAGAAAAAATTGAAGCTGGGTGTTTTCTTAAGCTGTTTGTGGATTGCCAGTGGAAAGTAAAGAAAGAAGACCAAATTAACAGGTTGGGGTTCAGAGCAGTTACCTCACACCACTGTGCAAACAGGAAGAAAAGACCCCAGAAAAGTGGTCTGTCCCGCCCCCAGTGAAGGGAGTGTCTTTCTCAATGCCACAGTGTTCTGGGTGGATTTAGGGAGCTGGACCAGCCACAGAATTACCTCAGTTTACCAGCTTTTAGAGAGATGTGGTGTGAGCACAGAGACAAGGGCTGCGTATACTATGTGCCTGAGGGGGTGTGTTTCTGGAGGGGATTTCTGTTCTGCGTTTAGGGGCAAATATCTCAGGGATCACTTGCTAGCAATGTCTCAGGAAATCACAATGCCTGATTCACACCTCCCATCCTGCAGAAATGCCTCTTCCTTCCCTCCTCCCCTCAAAAGGCAACGCCTTTAGCCTCCTGCCACAAGACTGGGAGGTAGATTCAACCAGTCCTCTCCCTTAAGCCTCTAACTCTGCCCCCGACATCCTGCTTGGTGCCTCCAATTCTGGACTGCACCCCACGGAGACCCCCCTCAAATGGGGAGCTGCTGTTACTCTCCATCTTTTCAACCATCTCAGGGGCAGGTTCAGGCAGTGGCTGGCAAGCAGGGCATAGATGGGGCTATTGAGAGCCTGGCTAAGGTCTTTACACCAAGGTGGACATCTGGAGGCCAGGTCCAGCGGCCACACTGACAGAGACATCAGTCATTAATCTAAAAACATAATTTAATGCATTGCGGTGTGGCCGAGTTGGGAGTGCAATGTGGGGATGTGAAGCCTCCATTTGTTGGCGCTCTGCTGCGATGGTGTTTTGGCTGATGAATGGGGAAATTTCACAAGTATTTTGGGTCACAAAGAAGGACACCCTAGGGAGCTCCCGCTCACTTTGGCCTACCTGGCTAACCAGGGCTAGAGCCCTAGGCTCAGGGCACTTGGACGAGGAGGGGCTGGAAGAAGGCAGGCTTCCCCACCTGTTCAGTCCAATCAGGTGGCGTTCAGTACAGGTTTCCAAAGTCTGTGCCGGGCCACTGCCGCAAGGTCCAGGGTTCAGACTGACTCTCAGTTCCCACTGGGCCATACCCCGCTCCCTCCCCGGGTTGGGGACAGGGACCAGGAGCACAGCCTGAACGTGGTGAGGTTGGGACTGGGGCAAGGAGAACAGCAGGGATGTGTCTTTTCCAACGAAGATGTCAGAAGTGTCAAGAAGTGAGAGTGGTCCTCGCCGAGGAGCAGCGCTCCCCGGTGGGCATAGGGCAGTCTGAAGCCGCCCCACCTCCTGTTCCCCAAGTCCCTAATCCGGGTACAGAAGAAAGCCGGAGAACGTGCTGTACTTGTTGTTATTGCCTCCGTGCGCCTTCCCGCCGTCCAGTTTCACATAAACCTCGTCCCCAGAATCAAGGTGCAGCACCACGCTGTTGCTGGCGTAGTCGTAGTTCTGGTCTGCGTCCTGCGCGATGGCGCTGGCCCGGACCTGGGGGCGAGCGGCGAGAGCCAGTGGGTTGGGGCACCTCCACCTGGGCCCTCACCCAACCCTCACCTGGCGCGCGCCCTGGCCGGCCTGCTGCAGTCTGCTGGGGGCGCATGCTCCCGCCTATGCTCCCCGAACTCTGTCCAACTTAGCAACTCCTTCCCGACCCTTCCACTCCAAGGGCAAATGTAGGAAGGAGGCAACCAGGGCCATGGCAAAGAGGAGAGGAGACTGGAGGCAGGGGGTTAAGCCGGGCGCACCATGAGAACTAACAAGAAGATGGTTTCCGAGGAACTCATGGGGCTACAGGCAGGTATGCAAGTATCCCGACAATGCTGTTTGGAGAGCCGGGTTTCTGGGCGCTGGGGGCCCAACCTCTAGTGCAACGTGCGAATAAAGGCTGCCGGAAAGCACTGGGAAGTTGGATACTGGGGCGCGCTCCCGCCCAGGGCTTGCTCTGGTACCCAGGAGTGGGAAAAAAGGAGCCTGGTTTCCCAGGCGGCTGAGGCTGGGGTGGGGACAGGGGTCTACGGGACTGTGCCGGGGCCACCTAGGATGGGGTGAGGGGAGTCACTGACCTGCCCGTTCTTGCAGAGATCCGCCCACATGCTGGTGCCGTCGCCCCCGCGCATGAGGATGTGGTAGGTGAAGAAGTAGATGCCGCGCACCTGGCAACTGAACTTGCCGGTAGTGGGGTCGTAGTGATTGCCGAGATTGGTGACCACGTCGTCGAACTTGAGCACCTCGTAGCCTTCGTGGGGGCTCTTCAGACCCACGTAGAAGGCAATCTTGGGACCACTGAAGGCGGCGCTCAGCGCGCCGGTCACTTCGCCCTCAGCGTCGCCGCCGCCCCCGGTGCCGCCGCCCGCCACCCCGACACCGCCGGCCGTGCCCGCTGTCAGCTGCAGCCCCGGCAGCCCGGGTCGCCCCGAGTCGCCCTTCTCCCCGGGGGACCCCTGGGTCCAGGCGGGCCCGGTTCTCCAGGTGGCCCCCGCGGCCCGGGCTTGCCTGGTCGCCCAGGGTCGCCCTTGGGTCCCTGGATGAACGGGGGCGGAGGGTGGGCGCTTAGGTCCTGCATGACTTCCAGGGCGGCGGTGCTGGGTCCCGGCGGCGGCGCCTTGGCCCCCGCGGGACCCCCGCCGGGCGCGGCGCTGTACGGGTCGCAGATCATGCGGCAGGTGCCCATCATCTCGTAGTGCGCGGCGCCGGGGGGCGCCGCCTGCAGCAGCAGCGGCAGGGCGATGAGCAGTCCCAGCGCCATGGCCAGGAGCACGCCGACGGCCGCCAGGCAAGCGCGGCGCCGCCGCTGCCACAGCCGGGACGCGACCGCCACCAGCTCCTCCTTGCCTCCCGGGGAGGTAATGGTGGGGCGGCGCGGGCGGGCCCGCTCCCCGCACTCGGGGGCCGGCTCCACGGGTCCGAGTCGCGCCCCCGACGTGGCGACCCCCTGCTCTGGGCGCTCAACTACTTCACCGAGAGGTGCCCGGGCCCAGGCGCCGGCGCCCACGACCCGGGAGCCGCTCCGGGGCACCGCGCAGCCCGGCGCGCGTGGCGGGGGAGCTCGCAGACCCAGCCCGGGGCCCCTGGGGTCCGGGGAGCGGTCGCCGGGGAGCGCTGGGTGCGGGTGCGGCGTCCGGTGCGGTCTCGGCAGCTCTGCCTCCGGGCGGGCTCCGCGGGGCTGAGCGCGCAAGGTGGGCGCGCGGGCTCCGAGGCGCGCTGTGCTCTGCGCTCCGGCTGCCGGCAGGCTCCCGCGCGGAGGGGGGACCCGGCACCCTGACGTAAGGAGCCGGGGCTGAGCGGCGGAGGCGGCGAGGCAGCACGCGCGGCCGGCGCTCGGGAGACTGCGCCCTCGTGTCCTCAGCCGTAGGTCCTCCTCCTCCCGGGCGGTGTCCTAGGCAGAGGCGGTCTGAGCGCGCTTTCTCCCGGCGGCTCCGGGAGCCACAAGTGGGCGCAGCGGGCTCAGCCCCAGGCGCGAGCTCCTCGGGCACACCCGCGGCGGCCACGCTCACGCGCCCTCCCCCCGCCACGCGCAGACGCCCACGCGCCCCTCGCTGCCCGCGCGCAGACCTCCGCATGGCCCCCGCGGCGCGGGGAGGCCTTCGGGGCCAATCCATGCCCCCACCTGCGCGCAGGACAAGAGTTCAAGCCCACAAGTCAAGGAGAAGTGCAGTCCCAGGATGCTCCGCAGCACAACGCCCTGGTGAAAGCCCTGGGTTACTTCTTCAGAATGAACTAAATCTCCCTTCTGGAATTGGAATATTGGAATTCCAAATAAACCTCACTTCCTTTCACACGTCTCCAAAAAGTTAAGTAAGCCTCAGAAGGCCGATTTGCCAACTTTTTGACTCTGAAAAGTCCAAAGCCTTTAAGTACAAGAGTCCATTAGCCTCGGCAGCTCTCTTCCACCCAGAACAGGGCTTAGTCGTGTCCTCTGTTTAAAGTTTATTTAGGGGCCTCCCCGGTGGCGCAGCGGTTGAGCGCTGGGTTGCGAAGCTGCCCGCAGCCTCTGCAGCGCCGGTTCAATCCCCGGCTGCTCCCCGGCCACCAGAGGAGGGTCCCACATGGCGCGCAGACCTCTCCTGCCGCCCGCTGCTCCCCTCAGCAGTGTACTTCGGTCCTTCTGCCTGCTCTGCTCCCTTCTCTGGCTCTGGTGAATTCTCTCACCCTCCGGCTTCTGACTGTGCCCAGTGCTTGCATAAATAAATAAATAAATCTTAAAAAAAAAAAAAGAATTTCTGACTCCTATCCCCCCCTTTAAAAAAAAATAAAGTTTATTTAGAAATGGAGATCCTTGACACCCAGCACTCGGTGGTAATCTGGGGCTCTCAGCTCTGGCTTCCAGCCAACCTCTACAAGGCAGGTCACCCAACAGGTGGACATCCCCAGTTACGGGCTACTAAAGCAGGTTTAGTTATTAAAGAATAATAATGCAAAGCCATTCCAAGCCAAAGTTTTGAATGAACAATAACTCGATATAAGGAAGTTTCTGTCTTCTACGCAGCATGTGAGAATAAAGGAAGGACTGATGCGCCTATGTGTTGGGAAGATCCGATGCAGAAATCTAAAGTCCTGTCTTCTGATCCTGCTCTCGCCCTGAGCAGCTGTGGGACTGCAGGCAGGTCATTTCCTTCTCCCACACTCTGAGAGACGGGCTCCTGCTCTGTCCCTGCTGACAAGGGACATGCACCAGGCTTGGGCTGGGGGAGAGTCCAAGCTGATGTTACTGGTGGGGCATCAGCATCTCCAGAACAACCATGCGCCCTCAGAGGTTATTGCTTTGCAGAGAACTTTCCTGTATCAGTTACTGTGTTCTGGAGGGTTAGTTTGTGTTCTGTGATCGCTCTGTGTCATTTCCCCTCCTCACCCCAGCTTACATTGCTCCAATCTCTTCCTTCACCAGTGTATCCCCCAGAGCATTGCAGAAGATCTGGTGCACTGGCCACTCAGTGTGTATTTATGGAAAGGGCGACTGAAAGCAACCCGAAGCAAACTTTACCCAGCAAAGGAGGTAGGGAAAGGAACGCATTTACTGGGCACCTACTACAATGCACTGGGCACTTTGTATGTGCTTCTTTGTTACTTCCGATGGCCTTGTGGATTAGTGATTATTCTCCCATGATACAGATAGAAAAACAAAAGCATTGAAAGGTGCTTGCCCAATGTGCTCTACCCTTATGACACAGCTGGAATGCTCCTCACACCCGGACCAGAGTCTCTGAGAACCCGGCAGTGACTTTGTCAGCTAGCTCTTGGTCAAGTTCTTCTCTAGTTTACTGGGGCCCAGGAACCCTCCCTTCCCTTCCTGAGGTCCACCCTGAAAACTGGTGCACCACAGTAATTCCAGGAGTTGCACAATCTGCTTCAAATCCTGCCTCCATAACTTCCTGCATGGCCTTGGAGAAATGACTTCACTTCCCTGAGTCTCAGTCTTTGTATGTGTAGAATGGGAACGACAAAAGTAACCTCTCAGTTTTTGAGAGGTTAAACAACGAACAGAAAGGCCTTATAACAATAGCTTGGGTCATTAAAGGGTGCTATTATCACTAACTATTGATTTTTTTTCTACCTCCACCATCATTCTTTTTTTTTTTTTTTTTAAAGATTTATTTATTTATACAAGAACTGGGGCACAGACCAGAGGTGCACGAGGGTGAGAGAATTCACCAGAGACAGAGACAGAGTGGGGAGCAGGACAGGCAGACAGACTGAAGACACTGCTGAGGGGAGCAGCAGGCGAGGCAGGAGAGGTCTGCTGTGCTGTGTGAGGCACCTCTCCTGGCCAGCTGGGAATCGAACCCATGCTGCAGAGGCTGCGGAGAGCTCCACAGCGAGGCGCTCAACCCGCTGTGCCACCAGGGAGGCCCTCCACCATCATTCTTAAGATAACCATGACGAGGTATGTGGACAGTAAGCAGGGTGATGGAGGTAGATTTATGATTTGAAAAAAGAGAGAGGGCCCACAGATTACCCACACACATTATCCTTCTCCAAAGCAGAGAAGGGACTCTGCCCTGTGCCTTCCCTTCCCCTCTAATGGCCCCGCTCTGGCTTCCTGCCCTCGAGACAGACTGTCCTGAGGCTTGAGAGTCACCCGTCTACCTAGACAAACATTTTCAAGACCAGCATTTACTCAGTTTGAATTTCCTAACCCTGCAGTGTTTTTGTCCACACAGGACCTGGGGAAGGAAAGAAGCAAGGGGGGCAAGATACTTGAGACCTAGGCTCATGCTTGAGACCCAGCTTTCACCCTCACAAACCTCAGGCAGACCTTTCCTGGAGATCAAGATCCTACAGTCTCTCGGGGAGGATGGTTCCCTCCTAAGGCCAGCCCTCCCCCAGGGGTGGGGCATCAGTAGCTGGACCAGGCAGCAGGAAGGCAGCCTCCTGCAAGAGACTACCTGAGTCATGAAGTCCTTTCCCTGCTCTCCCTCCCTCCCGCCCAGGGTGGCAGAGCCAGACAAAATGGCCTACTGGAGTGTTCGATACACCTTCTCATCCACCTGGCTTCTGCTTCCCCTGAGGGATCATCAGTTACTGTCTTCTCATTAATATTAATTATGACTTTTATTAGCATATCGTCTTCCATTTAGACAATGGTTTTCCATTTCAAGGCACAGTAATGACTCAGATCAACCCATTATTGCCCTTAGTAATCCAGTCTGCATTCCTTCCACCAATACCCACTGAAAGCTTACCATGTGCCAGGCATCCCCAACTTCTCATATTACAAAGCCCTTGTGGTCTGTGACATATGGTTTGACACTCGATCACACACTGTCTTGTCTATTGTTCTAATGGCCCCCAACAGCAATGACCCCCAGTATTCATTTACCAGTGTCCTTAGTATGAGATGCCTGTCTCTGCTCATCTCTCTGGACTTATCTTTAATTAGCCTTCAAGTCCCTGCTTAGTGTCACCTTCTTGTTCAAAGTTTTCCCTGACACTGCCCCAAGCAGAGTTGACATTTCCAGTCCATGTAGCCTTAGAGTACCTTGACTATCTGTCAGTGTCATATAAACCAAGTATTTGTCAATTTGCTGACCTCCTCTACCCGTAGAGCAGGAATCATGCCATTTAATCATTCATGCGTTATCATTCATTTGTTCCACAAATTTTTATTGACCTCTATTGTATGTCAGGCACTGTGCCAAGTGCTGTGTGTATAGTGGAGAACAACACAGGCCTGGTCCCTTCCATTCTAGCTGTCCTGCAAGGCTTCCTTGACTTTTTCCACTCTTACTACTGGCTCACTTGGATTTGCATCTAAATAGGCATGGCTGTTTGTTTGCAGGGGGAGGGCAGCCCTGAGATGAGATCAGAGAAGTAGGCAGAGGCCACATCACACAAGGCCTTGCTAGTCTTTTTTTTTTTTTTTAAACTTTTTTTTTTTTTTTTTTAAAGATTTATTTATTTATTTATACAAGCACTGAGTACAATCAGAAGTGTAGGACGGGGAGAGAATCCACCAGAGCCAGAGCTGGGAGCAGAGCAGGCAGACAGACCTAAGTACACTGCTGAGGGGAGCAGCGGGCGGCAGGAGAGGTCTGCGCGCCATGCGGGACCCTCCTCCAGTGGCCGGGGAGCAGCCGGGGATCGAACCAGCGCTGCAGAGGCTTCGCAACCCAGCGCTCAACCGCTGTACCATCAGGGAGGCCCAGGTCTTGCTAGTCTTGTTGAAAGTTGTGGATTTTATCCTGAGTGCAACCGAGTGCCCCTGAAGGAATTTAAATAGAGTGACACAATGCCATCTACGTTTTGCAA